CAATTTGTTAAAAATATTTTAAAGACAATATAACTTAATGACCTTAATGAACTTTTATATTGCACTTAAGAAAACATTACACAGTCTTATCAAAGTTAGGGTAGACAACATATTTCGCCAATTACAAGAAGCAGCTGTCTAATTTGGACCGTTGTTTGCTGATGGTCGTTTTTAGAGACGAAAATAACAATTAACATTTTGTATAACTACTAGTATTTTCAATTTTCACAAGACAAATTTTCTTTTATTTTCAGGTCCCACTTTGTTTTATTCTGATGTCCGGAAAGAGCAAGAAAGATTACATCAGTGTGTTACATGGCATAAAGCAACTACTTCCAGAGGCCATCGCTCTTAGCGAGTGCATGGTAGATTTCGAAGAAGCGATGTGGAAAGCAATTCGGGATGTTTATCCTGCTGTGAACATTAAAGGGTGTGCGTTCCATTGGAGACACATCCAGTCTGCTGGCTTGCAAAGAGCCTACATGGAGGATGAAGCAACATTCAAGCTGCTTCGTAAAGTGATGTCCCTCCCGTGTTTTCCAACGGAAGTTATTCCAGACATGTTTGCTAGACTTAGAAGACAGGCAACAACTGGAAGACTCGAGGAGGTATGTATCAAATTTAATAATCAGTACAACAGTAGTATAGTGTAGCAGTGCACAAGTTACATTAATAATGGCCAATATACATAACAATAAAGGTAAACAATAACATATTGCAGTCAACTTGATATATGCCACATTTTTTCTGTTTAGGTGTGGACATCTGTATATAAATTATGTTGTTGTTTTTTTTTTTTATATATATTCACAGGTATTTCAGTATATCCAGATGCAGTGGATTGAATCTGCAGTCATGTCAACGGACGTGGTCATCAAAATCTAAATTTCTATTTACTGATACAGTTACTACACCGTGAGGCATCTCTACTATCGATACAGGCTCGCTTGGTATCTGAAAGCAAATTAAGAAAGAGACAGAAGAAAATACACAGAGAAATGTAAGGACGTATGTTCCTATTATGGGAGGAATTTCATATTGGCGACCGGTCAGCTGGAAAACTGTTAGCAGCAGTAGCAGCGATATATGCGAACCCAGTGATGCATCGATGAAGGCAAAAATAATAAAATACAATGAGAAAAATACTCAATACAGACAAGTATTAGGGCCCGATTTACGCTAAATTTCGACCATACTTTTAAATTGAAATAGAAACACAACATTGTATATAATTAATATAGTATTAGGGCCCGATTTACGCTAATTTATTTAAATTTCGACCATGCT